TGAGACATCAGACAATGGCCATCACTGGCCAGATTTACCGATGACTGTTCATTTTAATAATCTTTCAAATTCAATTTTATGACTACAGTGACATTTTCTTTTTGAGACAATGTTTTCAATACTAAAACAATCCTTAAATGTAAATCTAGTGATTTATAGGTTTTAAAATAACTGACCGGGCTTTCAGACATCAATTATTCTATGAAGGTTGTAAATAAGTTTGTAAGATACATACATTCATACATGACATGATCGTTTTAAAAACTACATGCATTGCAGAAAAACCATGGCAGCTTTGGATTAAAATTGTGTTTTGTCAATTTTTACAGGTATATCAGAACACCAGGCAACACGTATTTCTGATTAGGTGGAAACATGTCATTTGTCTGTGTGTGTAGCTATATCCGACACTATGTTGTACAGTGTAACCTAAGATACAAACCAAACATGTGAAAACACTTACTTCCTTCTGACAGGCCATACATCACTGAATTACAGACGAGCTTGTTTGTGTCTCAAGTTTACAACAGTGACATTATGTAGTGTTGTATATCTTCTGTTCAAACAACAGGTAGAACTGAAAAAAAGGCATTCAGATTGTTTTCTCAAAAATCCAATTTATGGGATCTCATAGGAACAATTTACAGTGGTATATTTACATATCTACATTTTTCCTTGATTTATTAGAAATCGTAATGTGTGTCTGACTTTGAGAATTGCTATGATGTATAAACATGCATTGCAAACACCATGGATAATTAGAATTTAATGAGGAAAGTATATCACTGAAATCTATTTATAGACACTTAAATAAATATTTTAGCGATAAATGAGCTACTGGAAAAAGTAAACAGACGCGCCTGTTTGATTTGGGTAGCCAACGATGTGACATTTATTCCAATTAAACAAGGTCCCTGCAGCCAGTCGGTCTTTCTGGAACCTAGTGAACACAAATCAAGGATGTCTTTTGTAACCTAAGGCGGCTATAGGTCACTTTCTCCATTTGCATAATACGATGAATTATAATGACATATTTTTCCATAAAATTTCATAAGATTTATCTGTAAAGATTAGAAACTAATTGATAGATTAATTTTAGTGAAATTTGAAACATACTGTGTAGAAATGTCACTTTGAAAACTGATTCCAATTGCCTGTGTACATGTAAAGCTAAATTAATTTCAGTGAAATTTCACTGTTCTGTGACTATCATCAGTAGATATCATTTTCCCCAGGGAGTTAGATGTAACTATCATTTTCCCCAGGGAGTTAGATGTAGCTATCACTTTTCCCTCAGGGAGTTAGATGTAACTATCATTTTCCCTAGGGAGTTAGATGTAGCTACCACTTTTCCCTATGGAGTTAGCTGTAGCTATCATTTTCCCCAGGGAGTTAGATGTAGCTATCAATTTTTCCCCATGGAGTTAGATGTAGCTATCACTTTTCCTTCAGAGAGTTAAATGTAGCTAGCAATTTTCCCCTGGGAGTTAGATGTAGCTATCATTTTCCCCAGGGAGTTAGATGTAGCTATCACTTTTACCCGGGGAGTTAGACATAGCTATTTTTTTCCCTGTGAGTTAGATGAAGCTATTTTTGTCCCAGGGAGTTAGATGTAGCCATTATTTTCCCCTGGGAGTTAGATGTAGCTATCACTTTTCCCCTGGGAGTTATATGTAGCTATCACTTTTCCCTAGGGAGTTAGATGTAGCTATCACTTTTCCCCTGGGAGTTAGATGTATCTATCACTTTTCTCCTGGGAGTTAGATGTAGCTATCACCTTTCCCCTGGGAGTTAGATGTAGCTATCATTTTCCCCTGGGAGTTAGATGCAGCTATCAATTTTCGCCTGGGAGTTAGATGTATCTATCACTTTCCCCAGGGAGTTAGATGTAGCTATCACTTTTCCCCTGGGAGTTAGATGTAGCTATCACTTTTCCCCAGTGAGTTAGATGCTGCTGATATGTAATGTTTTACCACTCCTTTCTAGTGTATACTGTATGCCGTTGTAAACATCAGACATAAACAAGTTTTATAATTGCTGTTTTGCAGCTGTTTCAGCATGAATTTAAGCCATGTGTAATTCCTGCTCATTGATGGAGTAGGAACACATTTGATAATGAATGTTGAAGTTATCCTTTGTTGATTTTGTTTTATTTTGTTGGTCAGTTTTTATCAAAATACTTGGAATTAACAACCATTAAGTATCAGTTTTTAACAAGTTTGCTGGACTAGATAATGCTGGCTTGATCGAGATGTGCTACGAACCAAGGGAATCACTGGAATGTTTAATACTTTGCAATAAACGGAAGGATAATGACTTCATGCATTAATGTTTTGATCTTAAGTTTAAATGTGTGAATTGTTATCATTACAACAATTGTTTCCATGACAATCAGTTGAAATAAAGTTACCAACTTCCGTTGTTACTGACTCTGTCGCCCTGACAACTAACCAAGTTACGGAAGTAATTTCCTTAGTTTCCGATCTGAGACGATTATGTCAGACATATATTGATAGCTCTGTATTAGCCTGCTCCGTATTAGCCTATCAGGTCTGTGTGTCGATCCTCAGGGCATCTTGTAGGTGGAGCCAGCCCAGCTGAGAGTACTGGTATATATATTTCCTGTATGTAAATTATTTATGAAGCCAGGCTAAATGCCTACTGCAAAGATTTCTGTAAATATTGATCATTTGGAATTGTCAGATGATAAAAATGAGAGTTTTATATTTTATGGGCTGATTTATTTTATTTATAGAATATTTTATGGTCTGTTTTATAGTACATATAGAAAATTATATGTTCTAGTTTGTGTGTTAGCATATTTACAGAACACATCAAAATGCCAGAGGACCGAACTGGGTTATGCAACCAAAGAGGGTCTCCAAGGATTTTTTTAGGTCACCTGAGACAAAGTCTCAAGTGACCTATTGCGATCGCCTTTTGTCCGGCGGCGTCCGGTGTCAATTTCAATGAAATTTTGCAGAAACCTTCCATGGCCAAAGGTCAACTAAAATTGTGAATTATATGGTCCCCAAAAGGGTTGAATTGACTGAAATTTCAAAAATCTTCTTCTCAAGATCCAGATATGGTAGAATCAAATACTCTTCATAGATGGAAGGGTCTTAAGGTGCTTTAATAAAATTGTGAATTTCTTGACCCTGGGGTCTCACGTTTCCTCCTGGAGAGGGGGTAATCTTTACTATATAGTTTATAAAGGGAAATCACATTTTGGACCAACATTTGTTTAATTGCCATCGGAAGTAATTCAATTTAGGTTAGCATTATCAGTATTGGGTAGCAGTTTGCTAGCATGCACATATCAGCCCTGACTGACTCCCAGGGGCTGATAGATGGGGCCAAAAAGGGTTGAATTGACTGAAATTTCAAAAATCTTCTTCTCAAGACCCAGATATGGTAGAATCAAATACTCTTCATATATGGAAGGGTCTTAAGGTGCTTTACCAAAATTGTTAATTTCATGACCCTTGGGTCTCACGTTTCCCCCTGGGGAGGGGCTAATCTTGACTATAGTTTATATAGGGAAATCACATTTTGGACCAACATTTGTTTAATTGCCATTGGAAGTAATTCAATTTGGGTAAGCATTATCAGTATTGGATAGCAGTTTGATGGTATGCACATATCAGCCCTGACTTATTTTTGACCCCCATGGGGCTGATGGGTGGGGCAAAAAGGGGTTGAATTGGCTGAAATTTCAAAAATCTTCTTCTCAAGACCCAGATATGGTAGAATCAAATACTCTTCATAGATGGAAGGGTCTTAAGGTGCTTTACCAAAATTGTGAACTTCATGACCCTGGGGTCTTATGTTTTTCCCCTGGGGAGGGGGTAAACTTTACTATAGTTTATATAGGGAAATCACATTTTGGACCAACATTTGTTTAATTACCATTGGAAGTAATTCAATTTGGGTTAGCATTACCAGTATTGGATAGCAGTTTGATGGTATGCACATATCAGCCCTGACTTATTTTTGACCCCCAGGGGCTGATGGGTGGGGCAAAAAAGGGTTGAATTGACTGAAATTTCAAAATCTTCTTCTCAAGACCAGATATGGTAGAATCAAATACTCTTCATATATGGAAGGGTTTTTAGGTGCTCTACCAAAATTGTGAATTTTATGACCCTAGGGTCTCACGTTTACCCCTGGGTAAGGATGGGGAGGGGGCAAAATTTGTTATAGTTTATAATGGCAAATGATACTTTGAATATTACATGTTGATAACTTGATTGGAATTATAACTGTAAGTTGACAGTTTGATACTTTGAAAATTTTGAGCCATTCCTACCCCCAAGGGCTGTAGGGACGGGCCCAATGGAGTCTGTGTGCTAAAATAAAATTTCTTCATTTATCTTGTTCAGAATCAGAGGTGCTAGTTTCAAATACTTTTCAGTCTTAAATCTGCATGCTAGATATTGAATAAGGTGGTTTTATTGTTTTTTGTCACTTTGAATAATATTTCTGTTCATGTTAAAAACAAAAATCAACTCTCTGTATAAATATATCAGGTGACCGTTAAGGCCCATGGGCCTCTTGTTTTTAATAAGCCTGGTTTTAAATTGACAAAGAAGTAACAAAGAAGCACGGTTCTACATGCATTTTTTTCAGAAGGTTAAATAACTGGCCAGAAGAGTACGAAATAGAAAGCATCTGGATCGTTATTGTTTTACGATTCTGTACCTAACCCAAACAGTTGTATGACCTTACAAAAGTGTTAAACCTAGATTTTGACCTTGAATGGTGCAGAGCAGTTCCATTTGTGATCAAGGATTATAAACATTTATTTAAACTTGACCAGAAACTACAAACAGTGTGTGATGTAACTGTACATGCAGTTAGTAAAGGGATCTTCCCTAACATCTTGTATGGTTCTGGTTTCCAAAATCAGCATTTCCAGATTTAGTTAACTATAGACAAGGTTCATTATTATGTTGACAACAAATATATATCTGATCGTTGAATGAACTTGTATTTTCCAGGTACATTTGAAATGTCGACAGAAGCAGAAGATGACATATATGAGGTTGTAAACATAGGGAAGATCAAAGCCCACACACCTAACCTTAGAGTCGTTAATCTGTACGGAATCACCTTCATTGACGACTCTCACATCGAGCTGCTAGCCTCTAACTGTATTCATCTAGAGAGTGTGGCCTTGAACTTTTGTCTTAGGGTCAAAGGGTCATCTTTCAAGGTCCTTCTACAGAGGTGTAAAAAACTAAAGACTTTACTGCTGCAACATACAGGTAAGTGATTCTCAATTACCCTATATAGATTATACAGTAAGTGATCGTTACCCTATATAGACTATACAGGTAATTATAAGTAATCCTTACCCTGCATCAATTATACAGGTAAGTAATCGTTACCCTATATAGATTATACAGGTAATTATAAGTAATCCTTACCCTATATAGATTATACAGGTAATTATAAGTAATCCTTACCCTATATAGATTATACAGGTAAGTGATCGTTACCCTATATAGATTATACAGGTAATTATAAGTAATCCTTACCCTATATAGATTATACAGGTAATTATAAGTAATCCTTACCCTGTATAGATTTTACAGGTAAGTGATCGTTACCCTATATAGATTATACAGGTAAGAGATCATTACCCTATCTAGATTCATCCTCAATACTCCAGGGGTTACACTCACTAGCTTATTTAGCATATTCCTGGAATGATGTTAGGCAGGGTATACTGGAATCAGGTTGTCTGTCGTCTGTTTACATTAAATGGCCACTTTTTAAATTTTTGGTTCAAGATGGCTACCATAGCTTCTGATTGGCTGAGACAATAATGTTTATAACTTGACTTCTATGGAGTTGACTTTGTCGATACTCTGTGGGTGTAATACATAGGGGATATACCATGTATTAGAGGCTGACATTTTTGAATGAAGATGGCTACTATAACCTCTGATTGGCTAAGACATTAAAAACGTTTATGGTCAAGCAGGGGATATTTGTATGTCTGTGGCTTACATTTCTAGTTGGTAATTATATTCACAAAAACGTAACTGCTTCAATACTCTTTTAGTCTTCTTATTGAAATATACTGGTGCACATGTTCTGTCATAGAGGTTGTACTCACGACTAGCTGATGTACACAAGAGTGCCTAGCACTAACTTACCTAGACAGAACTACCTAGCACTAACGTACATAGACAGAACTATCTAGTACTAACTGACATAGACAGGACTACCTAGCACTGGGGGACATAGACAGAACTACCTAGCTCTAACTTACATAGACAGAACTTCCTAGGGACTCAGCACTGACTTACATAGACACAACTACCTAGCACTAACTGACATAGACAGAACTACCTATCACTAACTTACATAGACAGAACGATCTAGCACTAACTGACATAGACAGAACTACCTAGCTCTAACTTACATAGACAGAACTGCCTACACTAACTTACATAGACAGAAATACCTAGCACTAACTTACATAGGCAGAACTACCTAGGGACTCAGCACTGCCTTACATAGACAGAACTACCTGGCACTAACTTACATAGACAGAAATACCTAGCACTAACTTACATAGACAGTAGTACCTAGGGACTCACCACTAACTTACATAGACAGAATTACCTAGGGTCTCAGCACTAACTTACATTGACAGAACTACCTAGCACTAACGTACATAGACAGAACTATCTAGTACTAACTGACATAGACAGGACTACCTAGCACTAACTTACATAGGCAGAACTACCTAGCACGCACTAACTTACATAGACAGACCTACCTAGCATGCACTAACTTACATAGACAGAATTACCTAGGGTCTCAGCACTAACTTACATTGACAGAACTACCTAGCACTAACTTACATTGACAGAACTACCTAGCACTAACGTACATAGACAGAACTATCTAGTACTAACTGACATAGACAGGACTACCTAGCACTAACTTACATAGACAGACCTACCTAGCATGCACTAACTTACATAGACAGAGCTACCTAGGGACTCAGCACTAACTTCCATAGACAGAACTACCTACACTAACTTACATAGGCAGAACTACCTAGGGACTCAGCCCTCACTTACATAGACAGAACTACCTAAGGACTCAGCACTAACTTACATAGACAGTAGTACCTAGGGACTCACCAGTAACTTACATAGACAGAACTACTATCACTAACTTACATAGACAGAAATACCTAGCACTAACTTACATAGGCAGAACTACCTAGGGACTCAGCACTGCCTTACATAGACAGAACTACCTGGCACTAACTTACATAGACAGAGCTACCTAGCACTAACTTACATTGACAGAACTACCTAGCACTAACGTACATAGACAGAACTATCTAGCACTAACTCACATAGACAGGACTACCTAGCACTAACTTACATAGACAGAACTATCTAGCACTAACTGACATAGACAGGACTACCTAGCACTAACTTACATAGACAGAACTACCTAGGGACTCAGCACCAACTTACATAGACAGTAGTACCTAGGGACTCCCCACTAACTTACATAGACAGGAGTACCTAGGGACTAAGCACTGACTTACATAGACAGTAGTACCCAGGGACTCACCACTAACTTACATAGACAGGAGAACCTAGGGACTCAGCACTGACTTACATAGACAGAACTACATAGCACTAACTTACATAGACAGAACTATCTAGCACTTACCTACATAGACAGAACTAACTAGCACTAACTTACATAGTCAGAACTACCTAGCACGCACTAACTTACATAGACAGAACTATCTAGCACTAACTGACATAGACAGAACTACCTAGCACTAACTTACATAGACAGAACTATCTAGCACTTACTTACATAGACAGAACTAACTAGCACTAACTTACATAGACAGAACTACCTAGGGACTCAGCACTAACTTACATAGACAGTAGTACCTAGGGACTCACCACTAACTTACATAGACAGGAGTACCTAGGGACTCAGCACTGACTTACATAGACAGGAGTAACTAGGGACTCACCATTAACCTTCCTCTCACCTGTAGGTGTGATAGACCAACACATGATCGCTGCCCCTTGGGAGATGTCAATTATCCAGGAGTTGGACCTGAGTTCCACGGAGCTGTCCACAGTGTGTCTGGAGAGTATGCTGCTGCGGATATCCGGGTTTACCTTCCTTGGCCTCGGCTACTGTGAATTCTTCTCAGATCGCGTAAGTTGAAAAACAATGGATATTGTAAGGCTTGACAATTAATGTTAACAAGAGAAAATCTTGAAAAGTAAAAATTGATGGTACCTGTTGGGTTTTATTTTGGGTGCACATTAACTTTTCCTTCTTAAAGCTATCCTGGCTTTTTTTATGGACAAACTTTGTACATACATTCCATACAAATAAACTTTGAAAATTATAAGGCTTCAGAACTTAACTTTTATTTGATGACAGCATAGTAAAGCATTGTACACTGTGTCAGGGTGACAGATAGCATAGTTAAGCATAGTTAAGCATAGAGATTCAAAATCAAAAAGGTATTTGAATACATCTGAGTTAAAAATAAAAATGAACAATGTTTTTATTTTTTATTATTTTAAATGGATTGCATTTCGCTTTCATCAGACCAAAATCAACTACAAACCAACAATATGTTTGATATATGGGTATATAATATAGAAGTGGATTATTTCCAGATCCTAGAGCTGCTGATAATGAGAGGAAAACTAAACCACCTAAGAGCCATCGACCTTAGTTACACCAATGCCTTGTCAGAAAGTGCCATCTATCAGCTGCTACATAAACTTGGAGGCAACCTCGAGGGTGTCATGATTGCTGGCAAACCAAAACTCACCGAGAACTTTTGGCTTAACGTCATTTCTTTCTTAAAAAACATCAGGTAAGTGTAGAAAATGATACAATAGTGATGGTCTGGCTCCCCTCAACTGTATTCACTGTTAACGTAATATTGAGGTCTCTAACTACTTTTTCTGAACGTTGATTGGTTTATTGGTTAGTCAGTAGCTACTAGTAAATATAAGGAGACTAATTTTACTCCTCTCAAGGGACACTTGATTGACACCATCTCCAATACATAAGATATCATCTAGATTTAGCCAAAATTAGCTTTCACAGAAGATAAAACTATTGAGGACATGTGAGTTCTTACAACATAGATTTACTTTTACTATGGTACATATTAATATTTGTGTTTCTATGTTATTTTTCACCAACTGATTTCTATCTCCAGTCTCCAATATTCTCAAAGTGTCCAAAACATAAGTGGGAGTCTCTAATAGGAAATTGTATGTTGTTTTTTTGCTGTTCATTAGATTATTAGATGTTATTGGTACTTTGCAAAAATCACAAAATGTAAGTTACATGAGACAAACACATGCTACTCTAAGGACATACCAGTTGGTGTAATGTCTCAAGGATGGTTAGTTTGATAGACAGTTAAATTATCAAGGGAGACAATCCATTCAATTCCCTTGGGAATTGACCCTTTATTGTGGTCGCTTCTACAATTAAGGGAGATAACCATTTGGTTCAACCATTGGAGATACTTATATACATACGGTGAAAACAAATATATACATAGTGGAGGGAGATCAAAACTATATACTGCTAAAAGAGCTAGCCAGTCAACAGTCATCTGGGGAATTATGTTCTCAAATGGAAAATATGTGCATGTGTACATGGTAACACCACAGAATTCTGGAAGCAAAACAAACATGTCATTCCAGGGTGTTAGCTCATGTAATGTGTTGGGGATGTTAGCTAATCTCAGTCATTCCATGGTGTTAGCTAATGTAATGTGTCAGGGATGTTAGCTAATCTCAGTCATTCCACGGTGTTAGCTAATGTAATGTGTCGGGGATGTTAGCTAATCTCTGTCTTTCCACGGTGTTAGCTAATGTAATGTGTTGGGGATGTTAGCTAATCTCAGTCATTCCACGGTGTTAGCTAATGTAATGTGTCGGGGATGTTAGCTAATCTCAGTCATTCCACGGTGTTAGCTAATGTAATGTGTCGGGAATGTTTGCTAATCTCAGTCATTCCATGGTGTAAGCTAATGTAATGTGTTGGGAATGTCAGCTAATCTCAGTCAACCCAATGGGATTTCAGATTACGATGAATACACATTACAATAATTAGGATAAAAGGCATATTAATGACAGAATAAACTTCTCATCAGAGCCTTGAGCCAGTAAAGAATTATATTAGAAAACTGAGGTAAATCTAACTCCTTGGCATTTATTGGTAATTTTGATCTGACAGATTGTCTTGATATGCAAATAATACTTTACTTCAGTGTCCCCAAAATACATACAAGCTTCCTAATAATGTAACAGTGCAGAAAGAACAATATTTAAACATAAACTACAATGCTGGAAGGTTAGCGCTAGGTACAACCATTACCTCACTACTAATAGACAAGGCTGAAAACTTCATTCTTGGCACATCAATATACAAAATGTACATGTACTCCCTCAGGGTTGTGAACGATGTTCCATAACTGCAATAAGTCAATTTTCTTTATCATAGGATCATGGTAATTATTCATTTTTATTTTTGGAGACAGCTACCCATGATCCTTTAGAGGTGTTTTTTTTAATGCCTTTTGCCAAATGTTAATATGCTTTCAGTTGTAAGTGTTAGTAACAAACAAATGGCTGAATAGTTTTCCTTGTTGCCTTATCTACCCTTACTGACGTGGACCGTAGAAACAGCTCTTTTGAAGAGAGGTTGGGTTATTCCCTTGACAATAGGGAATTAGTTAACCCTTCTATGTTTCCTTAGATAGCAGAGAGAATGGACAGCCTATATCATATCCACTAACAGGGAGTGGCCAAACCATTCCCATCCGTTCCCTTACCGAAAGATATTGGGCTGGCCGATTTCCATCCGCTCCCCTACCCAAAGATATTGAGCTGGCCGATTTCCATCCGCTCCCTTACCCAAAGATATTGGGCTGGCTGATTTCCATCCGCTCATTAGCAATAGATATTAGGCCAACTTATTCCTATCCCCTTATTTGATTACAGAAATTTGTCTAACCCATTTCCATTCGCTTACTTAATTACAGAAATTCGTCTAACCCATTTCGTTTTGCTCCCTTTACAACAGAAATCTTTCCTGCTGCCTATTTCCATATGTTCCTATTTCCTTTTTTTCTCAGTACTTTTCACTATACTTTTGTGTGTTAAGGTTTATTTCCTCTTAAATGAAACATGATCGTTCACATCTACCATTTTCCTGTTATAAATTTGGAGATCACCCATACAAAAATAGCTATTAATAAACTTTTGAAATATGCCTACTTCAGCAGTAGCAGCATCATCAGCAGCAGCAGCAGCAGCAGCAGCAACAGTACCAGTAATCTAGATTCAGTTACCGTATATATCTCTACAGTAGTTTGTTAGGAGTCCTCTGCTCTGGTGACATTGCTCACTCTTTATCCTGAAGGAGAGGGAGAAGAAGGAGTTCCTTGTACCGATCATGTTAAAGATTTACCAATAAATAAATACCCGCCAGTGATTAGTTCACTATCGTGATAGATTGATGATATAGATTTAGATGCTGTTTCTTGACTCTAGACAGCCCCTTTACTTAGAGTCTTGGTGTTTCATGTATAATTCATAAGAGTCAAGTGGTAGGCATGCGTTTCTCTCTGACAGGCTAAACACTGCGCTGTGACACTCATCATACTGTCTGTAGTAAAAGGCTAATTGTCGTGTCACAATATTTTTCGTCTGGGGATGAAAGTAAAAATAAAATAAATACACGTGATGTTATCAGTGATCTGCTATGTTGTGTTTTCCGGTACTCAAGTTAGAAAATAAACGTCGTAAAATCAATACCTAGCCATGTGCCTTTAAGACAGACCAATTTGTTGTGCAGGGAGAGCCGTCAGTAATTGTTCGTCCTGGGTAAGGATTGCCCCTATTGATTATCCTGATTTTTACGCCGCTTGTTAGATAGCCAGAAAAAAAACACGGGGGAAAAGGTAAAGTAAGGTGTGGAGCAGTAGTGAGATATTTCAGTGCAGGCAGTAAAAACTTGGCCATAAGGAATGTGTCACAGCAACGTAGAAACACCTTACAGCGATCGCATAAAGTTCCCACACCCAGTTGGTGACCCATGCCTTTATCAGAAATAACTAATATCTAACCGTGCCACCATCACAAATAACTAATATCTAACCATGCCACCATCACAAATACCTAATATCTAACCATGCCACCTGCCACTATCTAATGTCTAATATATAGTATTTCAACCATCAGAAATAACTAATATCTAACCGAGCCACCATCACAAATAACTAATATCAAACCATGCCCCCTGCCACTATCTAATGTCTAATATATAGTATTTCAACCATCACAAATAACTAATATTTGACCATTCCACCATCACAAATAACTAATATTTAACCGTGCCACCATCACAAATACCTAATATCTAACCATGCCACCTGCCACTATCTAATGTCTAATATTTAGTATTTCAACCATCACAAATAACTAATATTTGACCATTCCACCATCACAAATAACTAATATCTAACCATGCCACCATCACAAATAACTAATATTTAACCATGCCACCATCACAAATAACTAATATCTAACCATGCAACCATCACAAATAACTAATGTTTAACCATGCCGCCAGCAGGAATATCTAATGTTTAACCATGCCACCATCACAAATAACTAATATTTAACCACGCCACCATCACAAATAACTTATGTTTAACCATGCCACCATCCCAAATAACTAATATTTAACCATGCCACCATCACAAATAACTAATATTTAACCACGCCACCATCACAAATAGCTAATGTTTAACCATGCCACCATCACAAATAACTTATGTTTAACCATGCCAACATGGGAAATAGCTTTTGTTTAACCATGCCACCATCACAAATAGCTTTTGTTTAACCATGCCACCAGCAGGAATATCTAATATTTAACCATGCCACCATCACAAATACCTAATACTTAAGCAACAAAATACAACTACACAAGAACATAACAAGTTCTAAAAATAAAGATCTATTTGAAGACATCCCTCAGATAATCTAAAGGAAATCAATATACACAATTATTGAAGACACTCTCTTCTATAGCTGATGTATTTCATTTATCAAGATGATTTTTTTTTCTTGTCTGATAGATGTTGTAGAGAGACTGACCTTTATTTTTTTTCATGTAATTAGATAATCTTACTTGCCATGACCAGAAACAAGTATTAACGAATATTTGTACGCATCAATCTATCTTATTTACCGTAATTAGGTTTGTAAGCAACAGCCTGACGCTCAATTTTAGAGGTTGTAAGCGAAGCATCAATAACATTTTAAAAAGTTCTTACATCTTTAATAATCTATTCCTGAAAAAACCCATCAGACTGTATACCGGTATATATAGTTCATTTTATCAATTGACCATGCCATTTAGGTTCTGTGAGCTGGGTGTTAATAGATTGTTTATGGTTATCTAGGATCTGTGAGCTGGGTGTTAATAGATTGTTTATGGTTATCTAGGATCTGTGAGCTGGGTGTTAATAGATTGTTTATGGTTATCTAGGATCTGTGAGCTGGGTGTTAATAGATTGTTTATGGTTATCTAGGATCTGTGAGCTGGGTGTTAATAGATTGTTTATGGTTATCTAGGATCTGTGAGCTGGGTGTTAATAGATTGTTTATGGTTATCTAGGATCTGTGAGCTGGGTGTTAATAGATTGTTTATGGTTATCTAGGATCTGTGAGCTGGGTGTTAATAGATTGTTTATGGTTATCTAGGATCTGTGAGCTGGGTGTTAATAGATTGTTTATGGTTATCTAGGATCTGTGAGCTGGGTGTTAATAGATTGTTTATGGTTATCTAGGATCTGTGAGCTGGGTGTTAATAGATTGTTTATGGTTATCTAGGATCTGTGAGCTGGGTGTTAATAGATTGTTTATGGTTATCTAGGATCTGTGAGCTGGGTGTTAATAGATTGTTTATGGTTATCTAGGATCTGTGAGCTGGGTGTTAATAGATTGTTTATGGTTATCTAGGATCTGTGAGCTGGGTGTTAATAGATTGTTTATGGTTATCTAGGATCTGTGAGCTGGGTGTTAATAGATTGTTTATGGTTATCTAGGATCTGTGAGCTGGGTGTTAATAGATTGTTTATGGTTATCTAGGATCTGTGAGCTGGGTGTTAATAGATTGTTTATGGTTATCTAGGATCTGTGAGCTGGGTGTTAATAGATTGTTTATGGTTATCTAGGATCTGTGAGCTGGGTGTTAATAGATTGTTTATGGTTATCTAGGATCTGTGAGCTGGGTGTTAATAGATTGTTTATGGTTATCTAGGATCTGTGAGCTGGGTGTTAATAGATTGTTTATGGTTATCTAGGATCTGTGAGCTGGGTGTTAATAGATTGTTTATGGTTATCTAGGATCTGTGAGCTGGGTGTTAATAGATTGTTTATGGTTATCTAGGATCTGTGAGCTGGGTGTTAATAGATTGTTTATGGTTATCTAGGATCTGTGAGCTGGGTGTTAATAGATTGTTTATGGTTATCTAGGATCTGTGAGCTGGGTGTTAATAGATTGTTTATGGTTATCTAGGATCTGTGAGCTGGGTGTTAATAGATTGTTTATGGTTATCTAGGATCTGTGAGCTGGGTGTTAATAGATTGTTTATGGTTATCTAGGATCTGTGAGCTGGGTGTTAATAGATTGTTTATGGTTATCTAGGATCTGTGAGCTGGGTGTTAATAGATTGTTTATGGTTATCTAGGATCTGTGAGCTGGGTGTTAATAGATTGTTTATGGTTATCTAGGATCTGTGAGCTGGGTGTTAATAGATTGTTTATGGTTATCTAGGATCTGTGAGCTGGGTGTTAATAGATTGTTTATGGTTATCTAGGATCTGTGAGCTGGGTGTTAATAGATTGTTTATGGTTATCTAGGATCTGTGAGCTGGGTGTTAATAGATTGTTTATGGTTATCTAGGATCTGTGAGCTGGGTGTTAATAGATTGTTTATGGTTATCTAGGATCTGTGTGCTGGGCACAGCCAATGGATGGTTCCTCAAGATGCAGAGTAAGGTGCACATTGACCAGGTGATCGAGTGGTACGCCCAGAACTGTCCCCGCCTGGAGCGCCTGGAGATACAGTGGGATCCAGACACCATTCGCTTCTCAGACAAGAGCAATAAATTTGTTGACCACATCAGGTAAGGTGTAGCTCATTAAACTTTGTCATTGATTTTGTAATTTCTATTGGCAAAAAGGCAATTGGCAAACATGACACACAAATTTGGCCAAAGTCAGTTTTGGGAGCCACAAAGTACTGTTGGCGGTGCTTCAGGCTTACTAGTCAAAGGGTTAAATGTTCAACCCATATTAGTAGCAGTAGCTACTATTGTTGTATTCATCAGCAAGATACTAATATGCATTGTTCCAATCGACCCTGCTGTAAAAATAGGTATCAGCAGGCTTCCAGTGAAGTAATCCTGTCATAGACACTGGGTAAAGTTCTGTTTCAGATTGCAATTAAAATCTAAAGCCCAGAGGGTTGGAGATTTCTTTTCTACACCCTCAAGGTAGGGGGTGATTATTTTTCTCCCATCCTGTTACTTTAGTCAGACCTCCACCGACAGTAGTCTGCCATGTTTGTAAACAAAAACACATGTGGGGTATGGATATCGTCATTCACTTTTGATGACGTCACAATTGCCGACGACACATTTTAATGATGTCACAATTAAACATGTGCTAATCGGCACAAGGCTATCTCCCCCTAGGGGGTGACAAGCTGATCTTTCCCTGTTAAAACAGGAGACACCCCTGTGGAGGGTGGGAGAAATTAATGTCAAAGAAGAATTTTTTCGAACATTAAATTCTAATATATGAAATGTATCTTTTTTCTGTCTTTTGTAGGTTACGCTGTCCAAACCTCAAGTCCTTTACACTAAGTGACGGGGAATATTATGAGATGGTCAAATCCAATTTCGAGAGAGCAGACAGAGTCAAGGTCGTGAGGACGACAACTAACTACTCCACCAGCATTGTCAGCCTCCTGTCCTGCTACAAAGATCTCCTATTCAACTGAGAGTTACCTCCCCTTAGCAGCGACAGTCAAAGTGTTTATGGTCAACATAGGGGCACTAGATTTAAGTCTCGCTAGGACTGTAAAGAGAAGGTTAAGATCTAAACAATATAGAGTCTATCAAGATGTGGCCATCAGATACCCTTTGTGACAGATGTTTGTTGAGTGGTAGGGTTGATAGCATTGGAACCAGTAGGGGCTTGTACAGGAAGTCCTCCCATCCCTCCCATACCCACAATCCTTGGTATCCCTGTCATGTGATACCTAATCATGTGACCCTGATCATATGACCTGTGTTATTGTGTCACTTGAGGATGTAGGTGTTGATGCCAAAGTACAAAATGTTGGAGGATGTAAACATACCCAGGTCCTTGCAGTCAGGATAAGAGTTCATTCAGACTGTTACTAAAATCTGTTACTTTTTTTCAATCAAATGATGTGACTAGAAAGGCAAAGATGAAGTTGCCATTAGAAAATTGTACAGAGTGACTAGTCATTAGTGTGACATGAAGTGTGTTTATAGATAGGGTTAAAATCAGAAAGCCTCATAAGGATATTATATATTACAAGATCCCCTTACCATTCCTGTTAACCAGTAGTGGGAGGGAAGATGTATCAGGTTCCCACGTAGAGTTGCGGGACAGTACATACAGGTCAGGTTCCCACACAGTGGCGGGACAGTACATATACGTCAGGTTCCCACACAGTGGTGGGACAGTACATATAGGTCAGGTTCCCACACACAGTGGTGGGACAGTACATTTAGGTCAGGTTCCCACACAGTGGTGGGACAGTACATACAGGTCAGGTTCCCACACAGTGGTGGGACAGTACATATAAGTCAGGTTCCCACACACAGTGGTGGGACAGTACATATAGGTCAGGTTCACACACAGTGGTGGGGCAGTACATACAGGTCAGGTTCCCACACAGTGGTGGGGCAGTACATACAGGTCAGGTTCCCACACAGTGGTGGGGCAGTACATATAGGTCAGGTTCACACACAGTGGTGGGGCAGTACATACAGGTCAGGTTCCCACACAGTGGTGGGGCAGTACATACAGGTCAGGTTCCCACACAGTGGTGGGACAGGACATACAGGTCAGGTTCCCACACAGTGGTGGGACAGGACATATAGGTCAGGTTCACACACAGTGGCGGGACAGTACATACAGGTCAGGTTCACACACAGTGACGGGACAGTACATACAGGTCAGGTTCCCACACAGTGGTGGGGCAGTACATACAGGTCAGGTTCCCACACAGTGGTGGGGCAGTACATACAGGTCAGGTTCCCACACAGTGGTGGGACAGAACATACAGGTCAGGTTCCCACACAGTGGCGGGACAGTACATACAGGTCAGGTTCCCACACACAGTGGTGGGACAGTACATTTAGGTCAGGTTCCCACACAGTGGTGGGACAGTACATAAAGGTCAGGTTCCCCCACAGTGGTGGGACAGTACATATAGGTCAGGTTCACACACAGTGGCGGGACAGTACATACAGGTCAGGTTCACACACAGTGACGGGACAGTACATACAGGTCAGGTTCCCACACAGTTGCGGGACAGTACATACAGGTCAGGTTCCCACACAGTTGCGGGACAGTACATACAGGTCAGGTTCACACACAGTGGTGGGACAGTACATACAGGTCAGGTTCACACACAGTGGTGGGACAGTACATACAGGTTAGGTTCCCACACAGTGGAGGGACAGTACATACAGGTCAGGTTCCCACACAGTTGCGGGACAGTACATACAGGTCAGGTTCACACACAGTGACGGGACAGTACATACAGGTCAGGTTCCCACACACAGTGGTGGGACAGTACATATAGGTCAGGTTCCCACGTAGAGTTGTGGGACAGTACATATAGGTCAGGTTCACACACAGGGGGGGGACAGGACATACAGGTCAGGTTCCCACGTAGAGTTGTGGGACAGTACATATAGGTCAGGTTCACACACAGTGGTGGGACAGTACATACAGGTCAGGTTCCCACGTAGAGTTGTGGGACAGTACATATAGGTCAGGTTCCCACACAGTGGCGGGACAGGACATACAGGTCAGGGTCACACACAGTGACGGGACAGGACATACAGGTCAGGTTCCCACACAGTGGCGGGGCAGTACATATAGGTCAGGTTCCCACACAGTGGGGGGACAGTACATATAGGTCAGGTTCACACACAGTGGTGGGACAGTACATATAGGTCAGGGTCACACACAGTGGTGGGACAGTACATACAGGTCAGGTTCACACACAGTGACGGGACAGTACATACAGGTCAGGTTCCCAGAGAAAGTGACTAGTGCTACTGGTACTCTTCTTCATATGATCATGTAATAGCCCAGTATCAAATAATGGCACACACCATTGTGAAATTAAGGATAAAAATCAAACTATGTAATTGAAAGATTTCTAGATTTTTTTTTACTATGCATATCTACCGGTATCTACAAAGATTTTATGACTGTTTATTTTAAGGTTTTATGATGCAATTATTTTTATCCAAGCTAAATTTTAGTAAACTCAATCATATAAAGGGCGATAACTGCTGCTTATGGAAAAATAAGACAATTTCAAAATGTATTCTCTAATAATAAATGCAAATGAAAATATGGTGATAAAAAATTCAGGACTCCATCAGTGATACATTGATTATATGCATAAACAATTTTTCACCAAATCAAATGTGGAGGTGAACACATTAATATGTATGCATGGGACGTTATGTGCAATTTGATATCAAGATGCTTACTATTTATTATGTAATTTAATGTTTCAGAGATCTTTTATCTCTACAGTTGTTGAAATATTTTTATGAATGAAATTATTTATTACATGAAGTGATGATTTGTGCATTAATTCATTGAATTATATCAAACTGTTAAACTACAACTATGTATACGTGCTGTCATTAATTTATTTTGTTATGTTTGATTTTTTGCATTAGTCAAATGTTGACATCCTTCAAAATATGCAATTCAGAAAGTGAATCATGCTGCAAATTCTTCAGTGTCCTGTAATCTTTGGTCCTGCGTATGACTTGTTATAAAAGTTAATCAAATGGCACAACCAATTTTATGATAATCCTGCTCTGTATGCGAGGCAATTACTACTGTACTAGGGCCGTGTGAAGGGTGTGGCTCACACAAGCGACTTCTAGTTTGACCTTCACCTCAAATCTCCAGTTTCATAGCAAGGATAGGATACAAGACACCTATATAGATATATGTTAAAATCAAATAAAAGTTATCAAATTATTATTTAATGTAATTTTTCTTCAACGACTTGAAAAATGAGGCAAAGTCTCAGTTGTATTTAAACATACAGGAATAAGATCCATGTCATGTTTCGTTATCCTTATCAAATGTATTCCATCAATTTGTTATGTTTAAGGTGATACTGCTAAACATGATATGTATACTACCTGTGTGAAATATCTATTGTCATACCTAAAGTTTGTCATTTTACCTGTAAGGTATTCTACTCCTGGGGTTGTTGATTGTGAATAAACTTATGAAATACCATAACATTGTTTGTTGATTTTTTTTCTTACACACAAGCAATCATTTCCTTGCATGAAATAATTCAAAATATTTTGCTTTAAATTAGATGACATCAGAAACTTAGTACAAAAGACAGAAACACTTTCATTTATTTAAAAACTTTTATTGCATTAAAATATTTTGAAATACATGTACTACATAAGCAGTTTTTTACCGGGTTATAGCATACAGAAAAATACATGATGTAAGATAACAGGGTACCTGACGATATTGTGATATGTATATATGTTTATATGTACATTTACTACAAAAGTAAGCCTTCATGGAGATGTAGCACTTATACAAAAATAATATAACCGGGCGACTGACAATATTGTGATATGTATGTACATTAACATACACTACATGAGCAGGGTTTTACCGGGCTTAGCACTAAAATTACAAAGACATAACGGTGGCTACTGGCATTACTAGGCAACATCACATAAACAGATTTTATTGGATTGTGGTCAAACAGAATTACACAACAAAGATGATCAGGCCAAATAAAAAATGTCTGCGCTTCCACTTTACCTACTTAACCTGGTTTTACAGGGTGTCACTACCATGTAATTATTTGGCTACCTGCAGGCAAATCCTTTGAAATAAACGCAAATGCTGTTTTTGTGTAAATTTTCTAAAACAAAATGAAATGTTTTACATACCAACATGTCTATATTTTTCTGATAGCTTTAAGTGGAGACACAATAATTATTTATTCGTCCAAATTACACATTGGTAAACATTGGAAGGTGACACATATGTATTATTCGGCCATGATATACACCGGTATTTATAAATAGGTTACACATATATATATTTGTGATATCTGTGATATATTCCTCAAAAAACAACACAGTTTGATTTGTACTTTTGACAGAGTTGGCCAAAATATTGCAAATGAAAACAAACCCTGTACATTACATGGATGAGATAGTTTAAGATATGATAAAGGATACTCCTATATTATACAATACCAGTGCAGTTTGAGAATGAACAAATCTTTGTTTTTAATTTGTTTTTCTTAAAAGTTTGGTAAGCTTTTCATCTTTTGACCAGCTAAATAAATTCCACCTTTCTATATTGAAAGACACCTGAACTTCAAATGAACATGATCAAAGCTTTTAGGAGGCTAAACATTTATGAATTAATGAATCTTACCGAGTGACGGAACTCTGTAAGAAATGGACTTTATTATTGTTCCTTAAATATCGTGAACATTTCAAAACTGTTATCAGTTTTAAATGAGTATTTCTTCATGGGTTTTTTTCAGAAGATAAAAAAACAAATAAAATATTGCATAAAACACAATACATGTATTATCATGTGCAAGAAAACAAGTAATGAACATTAGCAACACTGTAATACAGGTACAAATAAAAAATGTTCTCAATTTATGTTCAATTTATGTTGTATATTTTATTTTAAAACACTTTGCCTTGGCTGTTTTGAAGATATAAAACTCCAAATCAACAATTTATCACATTTACTGGAAGTTAATCACTGTTACTCAAGCTTTGTAGTCAAAACTAGACTGAGAACAGGAAATTTGGTCATAATGTTTGGTCTAAGATGAATATCTTGATATATGAATGACTTTCCATTCCACAAACTTAATCCAGAAATAGTAACTTGACAACATGTGATGAGATAACAAGAGACTTTCCACCGGTATAGTGTTACCCACCGTGATAGTGAGCAAACTGTAACTGTCCCTTTTAAACACTCGCATTGTAACCGCCAAACACTTTCTCCTTGGAGTAAAAGTCTTGTTAGAAATATGAAGATATGTAAAAATAGTATATAACATTAAAATTTCACATAAAACAATGTATAGTATGTAAAACAATTACACGCTCAGTTCACCGGGAAAATTAAATAATATCACATGGTCACTGGGAGTTATCTCCCTTCCTACATCTTCTAACTACTGATCTGATTACCTCCCCTGTCATAAACAGAGAGCATTCTAATTACCTCCCCTGACATACACAGACAGGTAAAGGTATAACTATCATTGATCTTATATTCCCTGTTGTATATCTAATTACCTCCCCTGTTGTAGATCTAATTATCTCCCCTGTTGTATATACAGAGAGGTAAGCTGTCCTTTGGCTTTGCTACAGGGATATAGGACATTTTAATATCATCATTCATCAGTTCCCAGTCACAAGACCGGCATAGTTCCACAATAAACACTTTTGTAAGCAATTTTGCATATTCTTTCCCAACACAAATCCGGCTTCCATAACCAAACGGTAGAAAGTTAAATTTTCCTGTTTCTTGCTTTCCAAGGTCAGATAATTCCTCTGTCCATCGGTCAGGGTTGAACTCGAGACCCTTTGTAAAGACTGGGGAGTTGTGATGTGTTTCACGAATCCCAAAGGACACTGTCCACCCTTCTGGTACCTGGTAGTCCTACAAGAAGACAAATGAAATTAATCTAAAGTGCAAGAAGTATTTTTATAAATAACATGACAAAGTCTTACCTCTATATACCATAGTAAATTGCAATATTTTACCATTTGTTTTTTAATGAAGTTGCCCTTAGGTTGAATAAAATTCATCCTCATGTTTAAGATCATAATGGACTGATAGTTACCCTGCATTTAGTGCTTGTACCAATAACCCTGAAGATAGTACTTGTACCGAATAAACCTGTAGACAGTACTCGTACCAATAACCCTGTAGACAGTACTTGTACAAATAACCATGTAGACAGTACTCGTACCAATACACCTGTAGACAGTACTTGTACCAATAACCCTGTAGACAGTACTTGTACCAATAAACCTGTAGACAGTACTTGTACCAATAACCATGTAGACAGTACTTGTACCAACAACCCTGTAGACAGTACTTGTACCAATAACCATGTAGACAATACTTGTACAAATAACCATGTAGACAATACTTGTATTAAAAATCCTATAGACAGTACTCGTACCAATAACCCTGTAGACAGTACTTGTACCAATAACCCTGTAGACAGTACTTGTACCAATAACCCTGTAGACAGTACTTGTACCAATAACCCTGTAGACAGTACTTGTACCAATAACCCTGTAGACAGTACTTGTACCAATAACCATGTAGACAGTACTTGTACCAACAACCCTGTAGACAATACTTGTATTAAAAATCCTGTAGACAGTACTCGTACCAATAACCCTGTAGACAGTACTTGTAACAATAACCCTGTAGACAGTACTTGTACCAATAACCCTGTAGACAGTACTTGTACCAAAAACCCTGTAGACAGTACTCGTACCAATAAACCTGTAGAAAGTACTTGTACGAATAACCCTGAAGACAGAACTCGTACCAATAACCCTGTAGACAGTACTTGTACCAATAACCCTGTAGACAGAACTCGTACCAATAACCCTGTAGACAGTACTCGTACCAATAAACCTGTAGACAGTACTTGTACCAATAACCATGTAGACAGTACTTGTACTAATAACCCTGTAGACAGTACTTGTACCAATAACCCTGTAGACAGTACTTTTCCAAATAACCCTTACAAATTATCAGACACTCAGTACTCACCCCAACTTCAAATGTTTTGATGGCCCGTCTGAAGCCAGCACCCACTGGTGGAGCTAGTCTTAGGGTTTCCTTCATCACATTATGGAGGAAAGGGAGAGAATTCAGTTTCATCAGGTTAAGATCCACTGTATCATCGTCATAGTCCAGTAAGTCATTGGCTTTGAGTTCAGCCCGAAGCCTGTGGAGGTATTCTGGGTTTTTCCCCAGATACATCAGCACTGAACAGAGGGTACTTGATGTTGTGTCATGGCCAGTGAAGAGCAGCTCATTTGCAGCCTCACAAAGCTCTTTGCGGGGGATGGTAGCACCCCCTTCCTGGGAATACAAGATGAAGTGCATTGCTGTTGTAAAATCCTGGTCGCTGCCCTCAGTCTCAATCCTCATCAGACATTTGTCGATCTCTGCTACAACCTTCTCTTTAGCTTTCAAACCCTGCAAATACAAAGTTGTTTGATACACAGTAGACTCTATGATATTCTAGATACTTCAGCTGTCGCATACAACAGGCACAGTGTGGCATTTTTAGGCACTTGAAATTTTTCCTTGCAATTTTTTTAATGATCTCTCACCTTTTGTTGTTTTTTTCGAACCTTTTGATAAGATAGGAGATTGGCCTTACCTTATAGAGACCAAACCCGGGTAGGTTTATAGGCAGGGAGAACGTGTTGTACATCATCACTTCAAACAGATCCACCAGTTCAGAGGACTTCTCATACTGGAAGCCCACCAGCACCTTGGAAGCAATCTTGAATGCCAGGGTCTTGCATTCATCAAAGGCAATGATATGTCTGCGCTCTCTCCACTCCGTCAGCCCCTGACGACATATTGTCTGGAAGCTGGGAATGTAGGACTGTAGTGCCGTCTGGGAAAATGCAGCAGCCACAAATTTCTTCCGTAACTTGTGTGTCTCTCCCGACATCATTGACAGTGCACCATTTCCTAGAATGCGTCGAGTGGCTTCAGGCCATTGTGATATTACAATTGTATTTTCTCCATTTACAATTATCTTCATGTACTCTGCCTGGCTCACGCGGATGGTTGGGCGTCCCATAAGGTGTGTCTTGTAAATTGCACCATACTTAGTTCTCCTCTCGTGATAGTACTCAGCAATCTACAACAAACATCACATATACAGTACTAGCCGTCATATCTAATCAGTTTGGATACCCAATGAAGAGGTGTACATGTTCCCGGGGTACAAGGAATTTGTATTGCCCCTGCCATAAGAAGAATTTATATTGACCCTGCCATAAGAGGAATTTGTATTGCCCCTGCCATAAGAGGAATTTGTATTGCCCCTGCCATAAGAGGAATTTGTATAGCTGATGCCATAAGAGGAATTTGTATAGCTGATGCCATAAGAGGAATTTGTATTGACCCTGCCATAAGAGGAATTTGTATTGACCCTGCCATAAGAGGAATTTGTATAGCTGATGCCATAAGAGGAATTTGTATTGCCCCTGCCATAAGAGGAATTTGTATTGCCCCTGCCATAAGAGGAATTTGTATAGACATTTCAACACAAATACGACAATCCTAGTCAAGTTATATATTCAACAATTATTCAAATTAGGAATTTTTCACATCACCAGTGTTTCTTTAATATATCTGTTAATGGTTTAACTGAGATGATTAAGAACTGAAAATCTTACTTTGAGTATGAATTGGATTGTCTCTCCAATGATAGGGTAGCCAAGTGTCCCTGGGGGCAGGGGCTTTGATGAAGCCGTGTCTGCAGGGTAAACCCTATTGATGTAGAAGTGCCACCCCCACTTGAGTAATGTAGGTAGGATCAGCAGTACCGCAAGTATTCCAACAGCAATGCTCCACACTGAAGAACAGTCAGCAAACAGGTACTGTGCAGACATTTCCATACTATAAAACAAACAAAGATAAAGATTTACCTTCATCTCTAAACAAAGTTTTCCCACGACACTCAGTGTCTCTATATCTAAAATTCCAAAACACCCGCTCTTCTCTGCATCAAAAATTCCCACAACTCTTTTCTCTTCATCTGACATTCAAACACCACTACTTCTTTACATCTGACTTTCCCACACAGCTACATATCTACATCTGACATTCACACACCACTACTTCTATACATCTGACATTCACACACCACTACTTCTCTATATCTGACATTCCTACACCACTACTTCTCTACATCTGACATTCACACACCACTACTTCTCTACATCTGACATTTACACACCACTACTTCTATACATCTGACGTTCAAACACCACTACTTTTATACATCTGACATTCCCACACCACTACTGCTATACATCTGACATTCCCACACCACTACTGCTATACATCTGACATGCACACACCACTACTTCTATACATCTGACGTTCAAACACCACTACTTTTATACATCTGACATTCCCACACCACTCCTTCCATACATCTGACATTCACACACCACTCCTTCTCTATATCTGACATTCCTACACCACTACTCCTCTACATCTGACATTCACACACCACTTCTTCTATACATCTGACATTCAAACACCACTACTTTTATACAGCTGACATTCCCACACCACTACTTCTCTATATCTTACATTCCTACACCACTACTTCTCCATATCTGACATTCCCACACCACTACTTCTCCACATCTGACATTCCCACACCACTACTTATATACATCTGACATTCACACACCACTAATTCTCTACATCTGACATTCCCACACCACTACTTATATACATCTGACATTCCCACCCCACTACTTCTATACATCTGACATTCACACACCACTAATTCTCTACATCTGACATTCCCACACCACTACTTCTCCACATCTGACATTCCCACACCACTACTTCTCCACATCTGACATTCCCACACCACTACTTCTCTATATCTGACATTCAGAAACCACTACTTCTATACATCTGACATTCCCACACCACTACTTCTCTATATCTGACATTCCTACACCACTACTTCTCCATATCTGACATTCACACACCACTACTTCTATACATCTGACATTCAAACACCACTACTTCTATACATCTGACATTCACACACCACTACTTCTATACATCTGACATTCCCACACCACTACTTCTCTACATCTGACATTCCCACACCACTACTTCTATACATCTGACATTCCCACACCACTACTTCTCTACATCTGACATTCCCACACCACTACTTCTCTACATCTGACATTCCCACACCACTACTTCTCTACATCTGACATTCCCACACCACTACTTCTCTACATCTGACATTCCCACACCACTACTTCTCTACATCTGACATTCCCACACCACTACTTCTCTACATCTGACATTCCCACACCACTACTTCTCTACATCTGACATTCCCACACCACTACTTCTCTACATCTGACATTCCCACACCACTACTTCTCTACATCTGACATTCCCACACCACTACTTCTCTACATCTGACATTCCCACACCACTACTTCTCTACATCTGACATTCCCACACCACTACTTCTCTACATCTGACATTCCCACACCACTACTTCTCTACATCTGACATTCCCACACCACTACTTCTCTACATCTGACATTCCCACACCACTACTTCTCTACATCTGACATTCCCACACCACTACTTCTCTACATCTGACATTCCCACACCACTACTTCTCTACATCTGACATTCCCACACCACTACTTCTCTACATCTGACATTCCCACACCACTACTTCTATACATCTGACATTGCTACACCACTACTTCTCCATATCTGACATTCACACACCACTACTTCTCTGATGAATACACAGTTCAGTAGGCTGTCATTCTATACGGACCTGTATATAAATACACAGCAGCGATAGTGTAACTCCCTGTATAATTATATAAATTACATGTCCTCGTATAACCTGTTTTTGTGTACTTCATATTTGTAGCGTATATTTCTCAGCTGTACATTTTTGTTAACCATGTACACGTACACTGTAACGATATATATATAATAGTACACTTTATAATATACATTTATAGATTTCTAGTAGCAGTTATCAGTACTACAATGCTACTAATACTGTGAGACTATATATAGCTATGTTCAAATGACAATGTAATATAATGTACACAATGCACAATGTACTACAATGTACAATTTAATACAGAGTACTACAATGTAGTACAATGTACAATTTAATACAGAGTACTATAATGTAGTACAATGTACAATTTAATACAGAGTACTACAATGTAGTACAATGCACATTATGAACATAGTTGTACGTGCAATCGTATACATGTAAAAGTATATCATTATTCTATGTATATCATTGGAGAAAGCAAACAGACGTTACATTTACAAAATAACACCAGCGTATACGTCTTACCTGATCGGCCCGGAGTCTGCCTAGCTTACAGTAGCCAGCTCTCCTCCCGCCCTTATATGTATCTATACACTATTACGTTATCACGTTAACGTTGTGACTGAGGTCAGTGCCCACAGTTCAGTGTGTCATCGTGTCATGACCTGTAAGAGCTCTGACTCCAGCGCACAGCAAAAAGGTAGCTTACGGTTATTGTGTCACGGCCTATATATATCTCAACCTTTTGTCTATTGGTTTATTACAACTATCAGATCGAGCTTAACGCTCATGCTGGGTCATATAGGGGAGATCTAACCACAATTCAGAGCTAAAACGGCACGCTGGGTCATTTTCAGGGCAATAATTGGCAACGTCAAGTTAAAAATATAATATTGGAGCACCTTCAGGGCACGAGGCTAACAGGAATGATTAACCTACGAAAGTAGTTCGGGGCCTCATAACACTGAGTATTCACACGTACTGTATCTCTTTTATTCTCACGAACCATAAACGCCCAATTCAAATTTAAAATTATCGTTCTTATTTTTTCTGGTCAATGTTATCCGAGATCTAAGTTAGCCAGGTGTGGTCTGTATTAATGAACCAAGTGGAAAGAACGATCTTGACCAGAATTGTATATTAGATGTTCTGGACATCAGTTTTGATATCCAGTAAAACTTAGGACGCCAGAATGATTTTTTTCCATCCATACTACAGAGGTACTAACCTATGTCACAGGCGGCGATCCCGGCCACACTGACACGGACTGTAATAGAGGAAACGAACTGGTATCGATTAATATAGAAGCGAGTTCATTTGCCTATTTAAAAGTATTTTACTGATCGCTTGCCAAAAGTACCTTTTCTGGTATAAGATTTTAGAGTTGCGGATCTACACGGGATTTGTGGGCTTCAAGAAAGCCCACTGCCAGGGAATAATATTCGATAAATTAGTATCTTCCCTTCTCGTGATGTGATAAAGGCTGCAAGCCGTGTCTTATGTATGTGATCGTGATAAAGATATAATGGTAGAGTTCTTCTGATAAATATACAGAGAAAAAATGTTAAAACGTGACCCGGATATACTCAATGTTACAGTGTGTCCCGGATGATATTAAGAAGGGTGTCTCAGATGAGATAAAGGTTACAGGGTGTCCCGGATGATATTAAGAAGGGTGTCTCAGATATGATAAAAGTTACAGGGTGCCCCGGATATGATAAAGGTTACAATGTGTCCCGGATATGATAAAGGTAACAGGGTGTCCCAGATGTGATAAAAGTTACAGGGTGTTCCGGATATGATAAAGGGTTACAGGGTGTTCCGGATATGATAAAGGTTACAGCTAGTCCCGGATATTATAAAGGTTACAGGCTTTACCGGATATGATAAAGGTTACAGTGTGTTCCGGATATGATAAAGGGTTACAGGGTGTTCCGGATATGATAAAGGGTTACATGGTGTCCCGGATATGATAAAGGTTACATGGTGTCCCGGATATCATAAAGGTTACAGGGTGTTCCGGATATGATAAAGGTTACAATGTGTTCCGGATATGATAAAGGTTACAATGAGTTCCGGATATGATAAAAGTTACAGGGTGTCCCGGATATGATAAAGGTTACAGGGTGTTCCGGATATGATAAAGGTTACAATGTGTTCCGGATATGATAAAGGTTACAGTGTGTTCCGGATATGATAAAGGTTACAGGGTGTCCCGGATATGATAAAGGTTACAGGGTGTTCCGGATATGATAAAGGGTTACAGGGTGTTCCGGATATGATAATGGTTACAGGGTGTTCCGGATGCGATAAAGGTTACAGGGTGTCCCGGGTATGATCAAAGTAACAGGATGTCCCGGACATAATAAAGGATACGGATGTGAAATGAGAAAGGTTACATGGTTTCCCATATGCAATTTAATATTTCCTTCCTTTCTGAGAGAAGGCTGTTTTATATTGATCTGACTTGTTTTATGTCGCGGAGGTCGTGTGTAGGACAAACTGTCTGGGTTAACAGAGATGGAGAGGGGGTTACTCAATGAAACATCGCCGATCGTCCTGGTAATGACAAATTGAAACACTCCGTGATCAGAATGAAGATCTCACAACCATACAATTGAGCCGATGTCTCGAGTGTTACTTAACTAGATTGACCACAGAACGGTCATCCCGTGAAAGTCTGTAGCTTGATTAGTTTTCGTTCGATCGGTCTCTATTTCCGAGCCGTGTTTTATCTAGACGTGTTATCATCCAGGAACAGCTATAGTACGGGGCTTCCGGTCTGTTATATTACTTGATGAGGTTCTCTGACAAAATATAATGTTGTCTCTGTCAGTGTATTTTTTAGAAGGTCAACATTATCCACGCGATTGAAGCCTTATTGCATTGTGATAAATTTCGTGGCTTTTTAAAATCCTTTAAAGGTATTCGTGCTGGGTCTGTACTTTTGAAGTCACCGAAAAATAAGGTGACCCGCTGAACTCTGGATCACCTGGATTAGTGGTTGGTACTATCTCGGCTGCTATACATAGTAGTACTATCGTGTTTACTTACTTACTTGTCCTTGTTGTCACAGTACATTTATACAACAATGTAAGTTCCCCTCAGCTGGGGTCAAACTCAGGACAAACAGCTTATTGATGTGTATCAGTACAAACAAGGTCAAAATGACTACTATTTTACACAGGGAAATGAGAAATTTGTTACAGCTATATTTGGCCCTAAACTGAGTTGTTCAGAGTAGTTTTACACGCTTTAGAGTGCTAGATAAATTTGAGTACAGAGTACAAAATACCATCATTGGGGTGGCATTTCCCCCCAAAAAATATCTAAACCCCTAATCGTGTAGAGGACTCTGAACACCTCAGTTTAGGGCAAAATATAGATGTAACAAATTATCATGTCCCTGTGCTATTAGATGACTACGGCCGTTCGACTACGGTAAGAGTTATAATTCTCGGTCTGTTTCAGTTCAAAAGTGGCTTTAGCTTTAATGGGGCGAGGTCCAATGACTTTGAACTGTCAATATCTAAAGTTACTACGGTCAACCTTTAAGACGTTAAAATAACATGATCGTTCTACTTAATTAGGTGAAAGTCAAAGAAACAAAAGCTATATATAATGAACCTGGAACAGGGGGATTCCTGTCTGTCATAAATTTGGTTTCTGGTCAACAAAGCTGAAGTAATAAATTATTGAAGTAAAATTTTAAACTTCAATTTTTCTCAAGAACAACATACCAAATAAATAGCCAAGAAACGTTTGGAAACAGGGTTTTCTGATAACACGCCTGGGGCTAAAAGAATTAAAGGTCAAGAAGGAAGTCAAACCAAGCACGTGTCAAACCAAGTTCGGTCAAGGACTGTACAGACCCCAAGAGTACCACTTCTTTGGTCCCGAAAATGTAATATATGTTTTTTTTTATTGAAATTACAAGGGTCTGAGGTATTTTTTTGAGGGGCGATATCAAAGGTAGGAATGCAAATAAAGTAAAGAAACTGGATCCAGCACTACTGCATACTGTACATTTAAACACGTTTATTGTATGACATAGGGAAAAGGACTGGAATGGATCACATGGACAATTACTACAACAGCGACAATAACTAGTTTGTTATAGACAAGAGACAAGTACTCATATACTATGGATCACATGGACAACTGTTACCAAAGGGGCGATAATCCAGGGGCAATAACTAGTAGGTTATGAACCAAAGACAATAAGGGCCACAGACACAAGAATTGATACGGTATGGACCAACAGGACAAGAACTGGTACGGTACGAACTACGTACCTTTTGGACCAAGCATCGAATATATATATATAAATTAAAAAAATAATATGCTCTATTCCATCCGAGTGCGATATTGATACCGATAAGTCTATCTCTGATATCGCTGCACAGATTCTTAAACACACAACACACATTTTCATACCCGTTTGATAAAACGGACCTTGATAAAATCAATGAGTTTTATCAGAAACGTATGTATATCCTTTCCCCGAGACAATACAGATAATTATATATAAGCTAGCTGGTGGTTAATTGACACGAAAGTGTTTTTTTAAATTGTCGAAAATATCACAGCATGCGTTAATGGATTAGCTATGTTACGTATAGCTAGGTTCCCACACCACATAAAGCTTGTTTATGTGATTCCAGTCGTCTGTTTATCACATACACGACTTGTCATAATAACATAGGTATTAGGCCTATACTCATTTACCTAGCAACGACATGGAGACCTGTCGGTGCAATTTACGTGGTGCTCTCCATACCTGATTAACGTTTCATTTACGACAAAAAAGATACAGTATATATATTCGCTCGAAATATAGACATATGTAACAGGAAAAATGTGTATTGAATGGCATACGTACGTCAAATTCTCTCAGTGGAAGGGGTGCAAGAAGGTGGTGCACTTTTAGTGCACAAAAGGTGCATCGTCGGTTACACATTTATTGAAAGTATAACTTGTCATGCGTGACGTAAATTATATATGTGTACAGTGTGATTAAAATGGAATTGGAATATATACATGTACATGTATGTAAAGTATTAGTCTATCTTACCTGTGTTGGCGTTACACTAGGATGTGATGTTACATCTCACCTGGCGCTCTATCACCTGTTCTACTCCAGTAGTAGGTGTATGTATAGTAACAAGTCCAGCTTGACCAGATCATGACACCCACCCCCCCATTCATACATTTTGTCAACAGGCATTTAACACGTTACGGTATTTTAGCGTTGGTAAACAGCCACGGGTTGTAACAGCTTACTCTACTTTTTAGTCCCAGTTTCATTTCATTTTACCACGCTCACTGGGTACGAGGTAAGCAACAAGAGTTCTTGGAAAGTATAATCTGTCGCCTTTCAAAAGTGCAGCTTAGCAGTTAGGGGTAAGTTAGGAGAAAATATGGAATTGTGGAGAGAAAGACAACAGGCAAGTATGGGGTGGCGTTAGGCACTATATAACAATAGATGAACAGTTTGGTTTTATATTTCTACTATTCTGTACTTTAAAATGCACTTGAATTCGAACGCATTCATTTCCATTATCAAAGTGACAAAAACTTTCTGTAAAACAAAAAATTTATCAAACAATTCGCAAGACTGCCATTGGAAACAAAACAAATGCAAGTTTGGCATTTGGTTTGGTTTAGAGCAGATCTGTTCTTCTTATCGCAGATCAAGGTCGTGGTCCAGCTCATCGAATCCTTCACATCACTCTGAAATATCTCGTCCCTGTTTCTGTCGACATTAACTTTCTTCCAATGACCATCTGGTCTTCGTTCGTTCCACCGCCGCTTTGCAATCGTCTTGACCTTGTTGGTGTAACTTACAATGGCCAGCCCTACACACACGCAGAACAAGAACAAAATAATACACCAACAAGTAGCAATACACACAAACAATATCATACCCGCAGACACCAGAACACGTGAATGACACGACATTAGTTACAAACATATCTACACATCCAAAGGCACATACAGACACTCATTCTTTCCATACGCATGAAATCAGTGGAACCTCCTACCCAAAACAATCATCCAATCAGAAACACTAGAAGAATTCAGGACAAGCACCACATATAACATAATCGAACAAATACAAAATCTACAACACAACTAATACAAACTGCTTTTAACCTGTTTTTTTTTATCCTATAGCCTATACAAAAAACGCTATATAACAACGCAATACAGCACAAGACCAACAAAAATCCGTAATCGTCAGTATTGACGGAGGATTGTACTTAGATGAAGAACTACATAACTACATATGCGACCTCCGAACCTCCTGTCTTAAAGACACAAAGTGCTGTACAATGATCGTCTGTGAGAACCAATCAGTCCTCCAACTCGTTGGTAAAGTGATCCGTGAACGTGAAGAACAGAGAGCGAAGCGACAGTCTGGCATGTCAGGTTGAACATGTTCCAGTGATGTCTATGTACAGGTTTCTAAAGGACAATTCTTGTGTCGCTGCTATCGACAGCCGTTCGTGGTGTATAGATCCTCCCAGACGCCATATGATTTTATCTTTGTTGAACATCTTGCTCTGCTTTGACCCATCTACCAAATAATATAGTTTAGCTCACCAGACCAGAGGGGCCAAGTGAATTTATGCAATGGCTCAGCGGCTGTCATCCGTCAGTAAGTCAATCCATCTATCCGTAAGTCCACCCATCTATCCGTTACAGGGGTAACAAGTGTTACAATTTCCAACGGCTTCTTCTCAATAACCAGAAAGCTCAGAGTGATTGTATTTTGTCATTAATAGACAAGGATGAAGGTCTACCAAGTTTGTTCGAATAAATACCATAGACCCACTTTCAAGGCCACAGGGGTCAAATGTGTTAAAACCTTTAAACGACTTCTTCTCAAAACCTAAAGACCCAGGTTGATTATTGAGTAGCATAAGATAAGGGGAACACAATCTGTTCAAATGAATGACTTGGACCCTCTCTCAAGGTCACAGGGGTTTGATATGTTAAAATATTTAAACAACTTCTTCTCAATAACCAAATGGTCCATGGTGGCAATATTTAACAAGTTGCATACGGGGATGACATTTTTCAAACGAATGACCTTGACAAACTATCAAGGTTACAGGGGTCAAATGAGTTATAATATTTGAAATAAAATAAAAAAATTCTTTTAAATAACCAAAATGCCTCATTTGATGAAAGTTGGCAATTAAGTTGCATGCCGGAAGGAAGGGCTATTAATGTGTTCAAATGAATTACCTTGACACACTGTCAATGACATAGGGGTCAAATGGGGTAAAACATTAAAGGCCCAGTTGGATGACATTTGGCCAATGGAACACTTAGATAAAGGGCTACCAAGTTTGTTCCAATCAATAAACTTGACCCTCTTTCAAGCTAACAGAAGCAAATTATGTAGAATGTTTAAACGATTTCTTCTCAATTACAAAACGCCAGGGATAATGAACTTTCGTCAGCAGCATATTTTGAGGAAGCGCTACTAAGTCAATTCAAATGATTCATTTGCTCAACTGTCAAAGTCACAGTGGTCAAAGTAATGTCGTTAACCATGTCCAACTGTCACAGGTGTCAAATATGTTAAGTTATGTATAACCAGTAGTCTGCAGGTCTATCAAGTTGGCTCCTGATCAACTTTCAAGTATTTGCTGACTAGTGGTAATCCCCAAAACTCTTAACATGAACGGACAATCGCAAGCTTAAGAGAATAGGCTGAACGATGAATGTAAAGTGCACGCAGTGTCTTAACGATTTCCACCAGGTGACAGTGGTATTGTCCTCGTGTGTATTAACGTTAACCGTTTACAGTGCGTGCTACTGTATGAATAAATCCCGTTACATAACCTATAGACCGTATTGCCAATTAAACACTTGTCTGTAGAGGATTGAACTGTTGACCGAGGTAGGAATGTCAACTGCGGGTCAGCACCAACCAAACTTTACCCGATAAGGTCACTCGACCCGGGTAAGGTCACTCGACTCGGGCTGACTGAAATTAAACTCCTCGTATGTACAACGTAAGGTCTTATGAAACAGCACAGTACTATCAATACAAATAGATAATAAGTACAGCTATACCTTTGACATTTGTTGACTATCATGGTCATATAAGTGTATAATCTCCTCCACATGGGAGTTCAATGATAGATATATATAGCATCCCTAAACTTTATTGTGTTATTACGTCACCGTAAGGGTCATAAACCTGCAGCAGAAGTATAAGTCCACAGTGCAATATAACACCCCCTTGCCGGGCGCAAGAGGTGAACATTGTGACAATCTACGAAATGTTATAATGCACTGTAAATGTGCATGGCATTATGATAAATAAAATAACTTATTTGTGTTTTACTCTAAAAGTTGAGACCACGAGATAAAACTGAAGGTCAACTACTGTAGATAGACAGATTACAAAATCTATCAGTACATGTAGCCGTGTGGGAGTTAGAATTTGGGTTTATCCAATTGTAAACGATTATTAGCTCACCTGGTCCGAAGGATCATAGTGAGCTTATGCCATTGCGCAGCGTCCGTCGTCCGTCGTTCTTCATCTGTCAACTTTTTCTTTAAAACATATCTCCTCCTAAACGCCAAAGAGGATTTCCACCAAACTTGGACTGAAGCACCAGTAGGGACAGGCAATCATTTCTAAATTAATGAGGTTGGTTCGACCCCTGAGTCCAGTGGGGTCGGGGGCCTTGAAGGGGAATTAAGCTAAATTTGCTTTAAAACGCATCTCCTCCCAAACACCAGAGAGGACTACAACCAAATTAAGTCTGAAGCATCAGTAAGGGAGTACAATCATTTTTTAAATAAATGAGGTTGGTTCAACCCCCGAGGCCAGGGGGGCGGGGAACGTACCTACATTTGCTTTAAAACGCATCTCCTAAACCCCAGAGGTTTTAACAAATGTTGCTCTGAAACTTCATTGAGGGAGTGCAATCATTTCCTGAATAAATGAGGTTGGTTCAACCCCTGAGGCCAGGGGGCGGGGCCTGAAGGGAAATTTGGCTAAATTTGCTTTAACACGCCGCATCTCCTCCCAAACACCAGGGGGGCTTCAACCAAATTTACTCTGAAGCATCAGTAAGGGAGTGCAATCATTTCTTAAATAAATGAGGTTGGTTCAACCCCCGAGGCCAGGGGGGCGGGGAACGTACCTAAATTTGCTTTAAAACGCATCTCTTAAACCCCAGAGAAGGTTTTAACAAATGTTGCTCTGAAACTTCATTGGGAGAGGGCAATCATTTCCTGAATAAATGAGGTTGGTTCAGCCCCTAAGGCCAGGGTGGTGGGGAATTTAGCTAAATTTGCTTTAACGTGCATCTCCTCCCAAACACCAGAGAGGACTTCAACCAAATTAAGTCTGAAGCATCAGTAAGGGAGGGCAATCATTTCCTAAATAAATGAGGTTGGTTCAACCCCTGAGGCCAGGGGGCGGGGCCTGAAGGGAAATTTGGCTAAATTTGCTTTAACACGCCGCATCTCCTCCCAAACACCAGGGGGGCTTCAACCAAATTTACTCTGAAGCATCAGTAAGGGAGTGCAATCATTTCTTAAATAAATGAGGTTGGTTCAACACATGAGGCGAGGGGGCGGGGCCTGAAGGGGAATTAAGCTAAATTTGCTTTAAAACGCATCTCCTCCCAAACACCAGAGAGGACTACAACCAAATTAAGTCTGAAGCATCAGTAAGGGAGGGCAATCATTTCCTAAATAAATGAGGTTGGTTCAACCCCTGAGGCCAGGGGGAGGGGGCTGAAGGGAAATTTGGCTAAATTTGCTTTAACACGCCGCATCTCCTCCCAAACACCAGGGGGGCTTCAACCAAATTTACTCTGAAGCATCAGTAAGGGAGTGCAATCATTTCTTAAATAAATGAGATTGGTTCAACACCTGAGGCCAGGGGGCGGGGCCTGAAGGGGAATTAAGCTAAATTTGCTTTAAAACGCATCTCCTCCCAAACACCAGAGAGGACTACAACCAAATTAAGTCTGAAGCATCAGTAAGGGAGGGCAATCATTTCTTAAATAGATGAGGTTGGTTCAACCCCTGAGGTCAGGGGGCAGGCCCTGAAGGAGAATGTACCTAAATTTGCTTTAAAACGCATCTCCTAAACCCCAGAGAAGGTTTTAACAAATGTTGCTCTGAAACTTCATTGGGAGAGGGCAATCATTTCCTGAACAAGAGGTCCATTGGACCTGTATCGCTCACCTGGTTTTATATTTAAGTCATTACAACTGAATGCATTAGTACATCTTGAT